TTTCGTGGCTAAATTTGAGGTGGCCATGTCCTATCAGCCTCTATTGATGGCCCCTGGTTCTCCCAACCCATCTGGCCATTCCTTCTTGGTCTCCTTTGCTGGCTCTCCTTTCAGGTCATGCCCAATAATGAGAGCTATCACCCAAGGCTCTGTCCTGGGCCCTCTTCTCTTCTCCCTCTATACCTGTGATGTTCCCCCAGTTGAGGGAAAGGACGATGGTTTTTGCCTTTCTTTCGATCCTCAGCTACAGTGCCTGACAAATGCTTAATTAATGCTTGTTGACTAGCTGTGAAGCCGAGGAAAGAACCAGCTTGGACACTGGCAACCACTGGGTAGAGTAGCACCAGAACGCATCCTAAGAGACAGGTGGGTGGATGGTGACGCAGTGGCCCAGAGGCAGGATCCCAACCATGACATCAGAGGATTACAGACTTAGAACCTTAGAGAACAGCAAATCCAGCCCCTCGTTTTCCAGATGAGAAAACTGAGGCAGCCCAGAGAGATTGACTCCCTTGCCCAGAGTCACTCTGCTAGTCGGGATATGAGGCAGGATTCAAACCCAGGCCATCCTGACTCCAAGTCCAGTGCTCCATCTACCACGCCAACTTCACGGTGAGGGCAGGGGACAGAGCCAGGATGTGAACACAGATCTTTAGACTCCTGCTCCTCTCTGCATCGTGACCCTGAGGCACAAAGGGCCGAGGAAGTATCAGCCAAAGGCAGCTGGAGCTTGGGAGCAGGAATTGTTCCAACCCTAGACGTGTGGATCTGGAGGGGAGATCGTAAAAATGCCCTTTGGCCGGAATGCCCTCGGGGCAATTTCTGCCAGGTCTCCCTCAATGTGTGACCGGGGTCACAGAGGATAGCTTGACAGCTGCAAGGGGCTTCTGGAGCCATTTACTCCTGAACCCCTTCATGTCACAGAGAAGGCAACTGAAGCGCAAGGAGAGAAACAAACTTGCCAAGGTCACCCAGGGCAGAACATGGCAGTGAACTGGGCACCAAGGGCATCTGCTCCCACTACAAGAGGGTTTTCCTGTTTCCAGCACTTTGTTCATAACCATCCAGTGAGGGAGGGGGTACAAGTCACATCAACTCCATTCTACAGATGGGGAAACTGAGGCTCAGAAAGTTTAAGCAATTTGCCCAAGGTCACCCGGCTGCTACTAAAGAACAGAGCGAGGATTCCATCCCACGTCTCTGCCTCCCAGTCAGGCGTTCTGTCCACTGTACCACGGTATCTTCTAAAACAGCATCTGCCAGTTGAGAAATGATTGCAGGTACACAAACACTCTAAGAAGGGGGTGGAAAGGGACTTACACTGAGTAGGAAGAGAAACAGTCTATGAGGTGTTTCATTATGACTTCAAATATTGTAGAACCCCCCCCCCCAATGTCTGCAGCCCACCCGAGGGAGACCCATAGCAGAGACAGAACAGGCTGTGGGAGGCAAGAGCTGACAGGCTAGAGATGCCTGCTTTTCAGAAAATTGTCTCTCAACCAGCCCCCAGTGGCACTCTCCCAATTAGTGCAGGAAAGAGAGCCCCAGACTCCAGGAGCTGCTGTCAGACTTGTCTCCTCAAAGCAGGCAGAAGAACACACTCCCCAGGCCTCAAATATCTCTGGGAGCTAGGTGGGGGGCTGGGCCTTTTGAGGTTCTGTCAACAAAATCCAATTCCACAAACACGTAATAGGTGTCTGCTGTTTAGAGAGCACTGTGCTGGACACTGGAGAGATAGATACCAGGTCCTGGCCTAAGGAAGGAAGTTTCTGTTCTCACACAGAGGAGCTGAGACAGCCAGAAATAACTCTGATACACAATATCACAGGATAATGAGTGCAATAAAGGATCATGAACAAAATGCTGGGGAAGGTGGGGGACAGGATTATAGGGACAGAGAGCAAGAGGCTGCTGACCAGGGGCAGAAGGGAAGTCTTCCTGAATGAGCAAGAGCTGGGCCCTCAAGGAGAGAAGAGGAGTTCACCAGGCAAGGAGAAGAAAAACCACTGCAGGCAGAGAGAACTGAGCTGAAAGGTGGGGAAGTACCTGATGCATTTCTGGAGGCAGTGTGGTCCAGTTTGGCTGCAGGAGAGAGTGCACGGAGGAGCATCTAATAAAGAAGACTGAAAAAGGGGAGGGTGGTGAGGGGGGGATGTCTGGCAAAGATGTTCAACATGGACTTGATAAGCAATAGGGAGCCACAGCAGACTGTTGAACAGAGAAATGATCTAGGCATAAAGTAGATTCATCTGTTGGACTTTTAAAGGATGGGTTGTAGGAGAGCAGACCTGTCCAGGAGGGCAGTCAGGAGAGGCTATGCTAGTGGAGATACCAAGTGTCCAAGCAGGAAGAGACCTTAAGATTACTGGCCCAATTTCCCATTTTACAAATTACACCATCCAGTCTCACCAAGAGCTGCCCCAGTATAGAGTCTCTGGGATCAAAAACAACTGTTCCCAGTGGGCTACCCTTTGGTGTGAATTTTCTGACGTCAAAGGAGCTCCAAGTTCCACTCAAGGCATACAATGGGTTTGTCTTGACCATGAAATCTCTGCTATACACTAAGGTTTGAGATATGCCCGAAGGTTTCCCCTTGTCCAGAATGCCGTACAGAGGCACTGGCTCAGGCACTGGTTAGACTCCGAGCTTCTTTCCAACCCTAATGTTCTGTGATTCTATGAGAAGGGAACCAAGAGGCCAGGCACGGAGGTGGCAGTTGCTACCTCAGTTACCTCGATGGAACAGACAGGGTGAAGAGAGACAGAGGGGTAGAAGTAGGTGCAAATGCAGGAAGGTGACTGGAGACAGCTGAGCAACCTCAGGACCCCTTTCTGCTTGGCAAAAGAAGCACGGCACTTGGAGATGCAGCCTGGCTACCAGAGGCAGGAAGAGACAGGTCCACAGCTGCTGGTCATCTGGCCCCGACAGTGTTTGGACTTTCTGACTTCTGAGGCCCCTGCCAAGCTGGGCAAACATCTTCAACGTGACCAAAGAAGGTCAGAGTGCAGTTGCCCAGATAGAAGGGGCTCCGGTGTCTGCAGCCAGCCCTGACTCTGGCCACCTTCTCTCTTGGCCTTTACGCGTTCTCCTGGATTTTGTCGTTGGTCTGGTCAATGTTCCCACCATGTCCTCACCGTGTCCTCTCGGGGCGCACTGGTCTCCTATAAACATTAACCCGGGGACTGCCTGTCTCTTTCTGTGGAACCTCCCCTCTCCCCTGCATCATGAAAAGCCTCTTCTTTTCAGCTTTTAAAACACTTGCCAACCTGGTCCCAACCTAGGTGCCCAGTCTCATACAATCGTAGGCTTTGAAGATGTGCCTGCACATCTTCTGCACATACGTACACACACTCCCACATACATATACACACTGTATGTCTATAGATAGGTATTTATAGATATAGATATATAGATATATATATACATGCACACACACACACACACATAGGTCCTGGGAGGAAGGGCCTGCAGGAGCAGGTGGGGGGCTACTTGGGTGCCCTTGCTGTCTCCCTCATTGGAATGTCAGCTTCTTGGGCATAGGGACTATTTCATTCATTGTCCTTTGTATCCCTGGTGCCACAAACAGTGTATGGTGCACAATGGGTGCCTAAGAAATCTTTGTGGTTAATTGATTTTAATGGGCCATTCTGCTTATGAAGAGCCCCCTTGGCTAGTCCCAAGATCAGTGTGGGACTTAGCGCCCACCTGGGAACTGGGAAGCCTCTCTACCCCAGAGTCGGCAGCTGAGACTCCAAAGCAGAAGAGGAGCCATTTCACCTAACAGAGGAGCTGCTGAATGAAGCTGCTGGAGAGAAGCTGGACCTCTGAAGCACGTTGGATTCAAGGCTCAAGGGGAGTTTCTAGCCCAAGACTGCTAGAGTAAAGCAGAGGAAGTCCTGGATAGCTCTAGCGTCTTGGAGGTCAGATATGGGGATGATTGGGGGATCTACTTGCTCAGCCCTCACCTCTTTCTTGACTTCCAGTCTCCCATCTCCAACTATCTACTGGCCATCTCAGACTGGCTAGCCCATACACATCTTAAGCTCATCATGTCCAGAACTGATCTCATTATCTTTCCCTTCCAAGCTCTTCCCCTCTTCCTAACTTCCCCATTACTGCTGAGGGCACTGCCATCCTCCTGGTCACCCAGGCTCATAACTTAGATATCATCCTCAGTTCCCCACTTCTCTCTGATCCCCCATATCCAATCTGTTGCCAAGGCCTGTCGATTTTTACCTTTGTAACATCTCTCACCTATGCCCCCTCCCCTAGTGCCTGGACTATTCCAATAGCTTCCCCTTTGCCCCCTTACCTCAAATCTCTCTCTGCTGCAGTCCATTCACCACTTAGCTGTCAAATTAACCTCACTAAAATGCCGATGTAACCACGTCGTGCCATCCCCCCTCCTCTTTTAATAAACTCCGGCAGCTCCTTATCACCTCCAGGACCCAATGAAGCCTTCCTTCTAGTCTCCGTACTCCTCCCCACATATACCTTTGATCCAATGACATAGGCCTCTTTGCTGCGCCTCGCACTCGTGTCTGTGTGTCATGTTGCTGTCCTGGATTCTCTCCCTCCTCATCTTTGCCTCCTTCCCTTAACGCTAGTGCCTTCCTTCCCTCTGTTGATTCCCTCTGATTGAGCCTAGTTAGAGTTTGTTTGAACCTCGTGGTTTGCATAGCCTCGGGGATGTGGAGAAGGAAACAAACTCCCACCTGGCCCACTTCCCCTCCGACTGTGAGCTATGCAGGCTGTGGAGGTCCTTTGGGAAGAGAACTAACTCTAGCAACACCAAGTAAAAAGTGCCCTTGGTGGGTGGGGAGGGGAACCTCAACCTTCTGGTAGTACTGTAAGGCTCAAGGTCTGTGCTGGATTCCTAGGGGGAATGGGGCTCACTGGAAGAGGAAGCACCAATTCTCTAGCAACTGTCTTCTGCTTTCTGAAGTGGGGAGGGGTGGGCAGCAGGGAGAATCTACTTTTTCCTTTTGAGGAAGCCTCAACCTTCTAGTGGCTCTGTACAATGTGAGATGGTATAGGTCTCTGGTGAAGATGAGGCTCATTAGAGAGGAAGGAAGGGGTTGTCCTGTTTTATGGGCTCAAGTGTGAGGCCTTTGTGTTTTGCATTGCCTGGAAGGTGAAATCAAGGTTGTCTTGTGTTCAGTGTATTGTCAGTCTGAGTGCTTGTATGGGAACCGATGACTCTTTTTAATGTTTTATTTGTGTTTTCTGCAGAGTCCTAAAATGAGCTACATTCTGATGCTCCCAGGGTTACGGGGCAGGAGCCAGAGAGAACCCTGCTTCCTTCTGAGACGGAACTTGATTTGTGTATGTAAACCCAGAGCTGGGTTTCTCTGTTAAGGGTCCCAAGAACCAAACAACATTGCAAAAAAGAAATGACCAAGTATGAGTTCCTGAACTGGTCTAGAGGCCAAAGGGCTTCTAGTCAGAGAGATTCAGTGGGAACTCGTGTCATCCTCCAGGGGATCACTGATGCCTCCCAGAAGCACACATATTAGGGGATCACTGGAGACACACAAGCTCGAAAAGAAGGCCTAAGTTTGTCCCCATCTGAGGCCTTCAGGGCTACGAGAAGGAGCTGCTCGAGAGAAGTGTGCACAGGGTGCGGCCTGTGCTGCTAATCTTTACTCGGGCATTTCCTGCCTGCTTCTACTTCTGCTCTGGGCCCCTTCTCTCCAGGGAAGGCCTGCCCAGGCTCTCCCTACCCACGGTCTTCTGGTTGTTGTCTGGCTCTGGCTTTGGGCAGGCCCAACTCTTCCTAAGTTGCAGGACCCAGGGAAGCTTTGGACTGTTCCGCAGCAGGGTGGCCACCCCACAGCAGATGAGGAACAGGCCTATGACAGCCAGCAGCACCCACCCGGCCTGAGTTCCCCGCCACTGCCACCAGGTACAGAGGTGAGTGTGGTTCCCGGTCAGGGGGGCCCAGGAGCCCCCCTCACTGTCTGGGTACACACACCACGCTTCTTCTAAGTCTGGCACACTCACGTTGGCACTGGCCAAAGCAGCCAGCCAGCCCAGGGTACAGCAGTAGAAGGGGTTGCCTGTGATGAGCACAGAGCTGAGGCGGCCACCTAAGCTGCCCAAGACCTCTGTGTCTAAGGCCTGGAGGAGATTTTTGCGCAGGTCTAAGCTCCGCAGATATGAGGAGCAGTGGAGGGGCCAGGGCAGCTTAGCCAGCTTATTGCCTGAGAGGTCCAAGACTCGCAGTTCCCGAAGGCAGGGAAGCCGCAAGTGGGCACTTTCCATGCCGTTCCCTCGGAGGGAGAGCTCATGCAAAGAATGCTGCAGGCCCTGCAGGTCACTGGGCACCAGAGCTAGCCCTGTGTTACCTGAGAGATCTAGAGAGAACAAGGCTGCAGGGGGAAATCCGGGGAGGCACAGCCCCTTCAGCCTGTTTCTACTCAGGCTCAGGTGCCTCAGGTGGAAGGCAGAGCTGAACGGCCGAAGGGTCCCTTGCAAGGGCCCATCTTGCCCACCCTCTGGCCTCCAGCATAGCCGGAGCTCATTGTCTCCCAAATCCAAGACTTCAAGATGGGGCAGGATTTCAAAGACCCAGCTGGGAAAAGTCTGAATCCAATTCCCTCGGAGATCCAGAGACCTCAGGGGCAGAAGAGGCAGCCTAGGGCTGGCCTGGTGAGCTGACATATTCTGGAGACAGTTCCAGGCCATGCTGAGTCTCTGGAGGGAAGAGAGGTGGCTAAGGAAGCCCATTGGAAGTGTGTCCAGTTGGTTCCTACTGAGGTCAAGGTCAGTGAGCTCAGGCAAGCTGGCCGCTGGCTCAGAGCCACTCTGGAGCAGATTTGGCCTGCTCACCTCTTGGTCTGAAGGGCCAGTGCCTTGAGTAGAGGGTGGGGCATGGGGCTCCAGGGAGGCCAGATGGTTGTCTGAGAGGTTGAGATGGTGGAGATGGCGCAGAGCTGAAAGCAATGGCATGGCCCTCAGCTGATTGTGGCTCAGGTCCAGCACCTGGAGCTGGTAGCCCCAACTTCCCTCCTCAGTGGCAAAGAGCTGCAGGGCATTGGAGCTTAGGTTGAGTCGCCGCAGGGCCCTGAGGCTGAAATCGGAGATGCAGTGCAGGGAGTTTCTAGCCAGGGAGAGCTCCCGCAGCTGCAGCAAACCTTCGAAAGCCCCAGCTTCGATTTGTAGGATGTAGTTGTCACTGAGGTTAATGTCCAACAGGTTGGGGGAGCCCAGGAAGGTGCCACGTGCCAGGTGGGTGATAAGGTTGTTGGAGAGGTCCAGACTCCACAAGGAGCTGAGATTGGCCACGTAGAAGGTGGCCATGTCACTGTCCAGGCGATTGGCGGAGAGGTCCAAGAGCCGCAGGTGGCCCAGAAGCCGCAGCGCCCGGCTGTTGGACACGTGATCCCGATTCAAGGAGTTGTCTGCGAGAATGAGAGCATGGAGCCAGCGCAGGGGCAGCAGGGCCCCCATGGAGAGCTCCTCCAGCCCGTTCCCCCGGAGGTCCAGGTGACGCAGATTTGGCCTGTCTTCCATGGCGTTGTCCCGTAGAACTTGCAAGCGGTTGTGAGAGAGGTCCAGCTGTTCTATGGTCAAAGGCAACGCTGCTGGGAATGTGTGAAGGCCCAGGCCCTGGCAGGACACCCTCAGCAGGCCCTGGAATAGAAGGAGTTCAGAGGCTCTGAGGGGCCAGGGCCAGGGCTAGGGCCTGGGGGGGGGGGGCAGTGGGGAGGGGGCTTTTCCTTCCTCCTAAGCAGGGACAGTGACTAGAAACTGCTTCAGTGCTGATCCTGGCTCCCCTTGCTCCCTGGAATAGCTCCGGCTTGGCTTAAAAGAGGCAGCCAATGGTCTGGAACAACGGAAAGGGCCTTGAACCTGGTGTCGGAAGGCTGAAGGTGCAGTCCTGGTCGAGCCACTCCCTAGCTGTGGAACCCTAGGCAAATCAGCACATCTCTTTGAGCCTCAGTTTCTTCATCTTTCTAGAAAATGCTACTTGTACTCTCTACCTCACAAGTGCTACAGAAATGTGAGCTAGCATTATCATCACCATTCTTGCTGCTGCTGCTGCTGCTGTTCAGGCCTGGCAAAGCCATCCCCAAAGTCAGGGAGGGCCACCTAGAAGGGCCTGGGGGGAAGGGATCTGAGGCTCTGAGGCTCAGAGGGAAGGGGGCTGGGGTGTACTTTGGTGCTTGGGAATTCGGGTTGAGTGATAAGAAGGGGCTGTCATCATTGTCTCCTGGGCCTTGCTGCCCAAGAACCTGCCTCCATGGCTCTGTTTTTCTGCCACGCTGATCATGCTGGTGACTGCACATTGCCTTGCATGGACAAGGAGGGCAATAGGCAGCTGCCAGAGAGAGAAGGGCAGTGGAAGCAGACGCCACCATTGAGGGGAGCCCAGGTGCCACGTTGGTACTGGCCTCTGCTTTCCTCAACACTCCAAGGATCTGCAGTTTCACTGATGTGGGCTATAGTGCCCCCGCCAATGCCAATCGCAACCACGCTCTAGCTCAGGAGATGGTCTGGGAGAGTTGCTGGGGCCACAACAAAGAAAGCAGCCCCTTACAACCAAGCTGGTAGGAAGGTGACTGCGTCTCCCCAAAGTCTCATTTGGCTGATCTCCAGCCATCATGGAGCTGTTTCTCCAGGAGAGAAGGACCTTCCCGAGCTTGGGCTTGGTTGGTATAGCTTTGGAGGAGTCAAGGGCATCTCTACCCCAGGATGATGCCTAAAGCTTCATCTGTCAAATTCTTAGCATGGCATTCGAGGCTTGCCATAGGGCGATCTTAGAGTTACCCCTCCCTCTTCACTGATACCCATGCTCTGCTTTGGCCAAGGTGGTCTCCTTAAATCCACCAAACTCTTTCTTGACTATTTTCCCACCTAGAGGTGCCCTAAGTTGGCCCCTTTTCCTTGCACCCAGGCCCCACACATCATTAAAGTTGGGCTCATGGTGGCCCTTCTCTGAGATGTCCTCTTTGAGGGCTCTAGCTATTCAACAAGAGACACACAGCACTAGATTTGGTCCAATCGTTTCGTGTGTACATCTGGGCTCGCCAGCAAAATCATAAACTCCTTGAGGGTAGAAGGAAGATTTCAGATTTTTTTCTTTACTCCCCTCGGTGCCTGGCACAGGGCAATATGGGGTGAATGAGATACTTTTGAAGTGTTTTGGAAACCCCAATGCCCTCTTCAAATTCGTGCTGTTCTCTCTAATAATAAAAAAGGCTTAACGAAGGAGATGTTTTCAAATGCCTTAGTGAACGAATGCCAAAATAGAGAAATGACCCCAGCTTTGCTGTAGGAGCCTCCTGAGGCCAGGTAAAGGCAGGCCCAAGAGAGGCAGTGCCACCTAGCTCCCAGAGTGCCAGACCTGGAGGCACTTCAAATTCCAACTCTGACAATCACTGTGACTCTGGGCGAGTCACTCATACTCCCTGAGCCTCAGTTTCCTCATCAGTAAAATGGGGCCAATTATCCACATAGTCCAAGTTGTGAGATTGAATGAGGTGATGTTTGGTAAAGCACTTTGGACACCTGAAAGTGCTATAACAATGATGGAATTATTTGCTTTTCCTCTAAGGCAGGAACCCCACTCCCCCCTAGAGCAAACAAGGCCTATCCCCAGAGTTCCTACTCCCCATAGATCTACACGGCAGATTTCCCCCACACACACACACTGTGTGTGCTCTGAGGGACCCTTGCCCGAGCCCTCCTGGTTTTCCATCCCTGGCTGACCCAGGAGGGCAGGGGCCATGAGCATGGAAGAGTCAGCCTTACCGTCAGGCAGCCAGGTGGCAGAGAGGCTGAGTGTCCAGTGATGCCCTCAGGGCTTGTGTGCAGCAGAGCTAGGAGCAGGCTGAGACCCAGGGAGCTGGGCCCTGGACTAATAGCCTCCTGGAGACCCATGCTGCTGGCCTCCTTCAGCTCTTCTTGCCCTGGCCCTGAGCAGCCAACTATCTTGAGGTTGTGGGAATTTTAAATAGGCCCATACCAAGGCAGGAAGTCTCGCTGTAGGTCAGTGAAAGTCGGAAACCACCAAGTCCCTCTGGGTGGAGGATAAGGAAGAGACATAGGAAGGAGGGGGAATATGGGGCCTCGGGCGGTCCCACCTTGGGGTTTGGGGATCAGGAGGCCATGACTGCGTATCAGTTACTGTTGGAGGGGGCAGAGCTAAGTGAAAGACAGACAGGCTGGCTGGATGACAAATCATCCCCCAGGCCCAGGGGCCCCGCTCCTGGACCCCTCCCCTTCCTGCTGTGTCAACTGGAGGAGCTCAGGACAATGTTCCCCAACCTCAGGGTTCTTCCAGCTCTGAACTCGGATCCTCTCAGCCCATGACCATGGCACCATGAGACTCCAACTCATCAGTTGGGGGCCAGATTGTCTGTGAAGGGCCTTGACTGCCAGAATGCAGAGTTTTGCCTTTATCCTGCAGCCAATAGGAATTCTCCCTAGATTCTCCAGTGGCCTTGAATGCCAGAATGAAGAGGGATGCTTTTGGAGGCTTCTCTCTGAGTTCCCTTCCCCCAGCAAATTAGCCTCACTTTTCCACTCAAGCCATGTGTGTCCTATAGGAGTTTGGAGTGGGAGGAGGTGGAGGGACAAGGGCTCACACCCTGTCCTGGCCTTGGAATTTGGGGAGAGAAGTAGGAGAAGGCACTTCCTCTTGGAGGAAACCCGTGCGCACAAGACTGGACTAGAGAAGATCAAGATAGAGCCTTGGGATCCACCCTGCTCTGCTCAAGCTCCCCCAAAGCTAGCACAGCCTTGTCTCAGACCCTGCCCCGTTTACCTGAGAGGCCCAAGAAGAGCTTCTCGGCTAGCCTCAAACGATGCTGGCTTGGTCCTCTAGAGGCAGCGAGGCACAATAGAGACCGAAGCTTGAATACCATCCCTGACCATGGGCGATCCACTGAGCCTTAGTTTCCTCATCCGTCCAATGGCGGTAACAATACCTGGAGTTTTCATCTTAAAGGGTTGAGGTGAATACCCAGGGTCTAGAGGTCAGTGCACACACATGCACACACATGTAGAAGTGATAGAGTCAAGATCTGAACCCAGACCCTGCGATTCCAGTCCAGCATTCTTTCCATCGCACCACTCTGTGAGCATAGCACTCGCACTTCTTCCTCTATGCACGTGTTTATTTCCCTCAGCAGAATGTAAGCTCCTTGAGGGCAGGGACTACTTTTTATGTGTTTTGTTTTGTTTTGTTTTTTATCCCCAGGACCAACTAAATGCTGAAGCAGCTACGTGGTCCAGAGGATAGAGGGCTGGGCCTGGAATCAGGAAGACCAGAGTTCAAATCTAGCCTTAGACACTTATTAGTTGAGTGACCCTGGGCAAGTCACTTCACATCCTCATCTGTAAAATGGGGATCATAATAGCACCCACCTGCCAGGGTTGTTGTGAAGATTACATGAGGTTATGTTTATAAAGGGATTGGCACAGCGCCTGGCACATAGCAGGTACTTAATAAATTCTCGTTTCCTTCCTCCTCTTCTGAAAACCTAGTACCCTCAAATCCCAGTACCTGCCTCCTTACTCATCTTTGTGGGGACAAGCGCCCCAAAAGTTTTGGCTGGGGCTGGCTCTGAGACTAAGCCACTCCCTACTCCCCAGCCTTGACAACCTTCACAACCACGCTGGGCTCCTGCTCTCCTGACTGGTGACTCTCCCAGACCACTATTTTTAGAAAGCTCAGGCCTGGCTTCACTCCCAAGTCTTCTGCCATCTCCATGGACCTGGGTACACCTTCTGCAGCATAGAGGACAAGGACAGACGCCCTGTAGGTGTTTTTCGGTTCCCTGAGGCTTACTTACTCCCTTCCCTCTACATCCCTGAAATCCTCCTTCATGGAGGCTACAGGAGAAAAGTTAGAACAGCTAAAAACATCTTGGCAGATTCTGGAAGTTTTCTGATCAATCATTAAGGAGTTTTGAAACACCTCCTTACTACCCTGGTCACTCCCTTCTCCCACTCACTTCCCTTGAGTCAAGAAGGTATCTGTTAATCCTTCTCACAGGAGAAGAGAGTTTCACCCTCCCCCCCCCACCTCTGAATTCATCTTCTACAGCGTGGGCTCCCCTGGCAATGCCCTTGGGCCCTGGGGCAACCTTTGCCTTGCCCCTCCCTTTGAGGGTTCCCTTTTCTCCCCCTCTCTCCTTGCTCTCTCCTCACCCCAGGACTTGGAAGCATGATCATTGTTCCTGGATGAGGTAGGCCAATCTGCTACTCCCCCATGGCCCCAGACTCGGTGATAACCCTGTAATTCTCCCGACCAAAGTGTCCTCCCCTGGCCTGCAATCATTCCCCTGTGGATGCCGTCTCTGCCATTGGCACAGATGCTCGCAGAAAGTAGGGATCGTCTTCGTATCTCCTGTGTTTCTGCTGGTTGGGCATTTGTTGCTCCGTTTCCTCAGCCAAGGGACCAGACTCCTCAGAGAACATCTGCCTTACTATCTTCGAGGTCAGGCTAGAGGAGTGACCCCTTAGACCTCTGGGCCCTGCAAAGCAGCTGAGAGAGCAGGGAAGGGGACAGTCCCCTTCAGAAAGGAAACGAGGTCCCAGGATCCAAAGACGAATGTCTTGTACCTCCTTCTCTAGGCTGCGCCCGTTCCCTGAAGCTGTCCCCACCAGGCCCATCCCAACTGAACGCAGTGCCCATAGAAAAGAGCCGAAAAGTGCCAGGTAGGGTTAGATGGAGCAAATAACTGGGTTCCATATGCCACCCAGTGGTCAGCCTCCACATAGCAGGTAAGGGATCACTGGGCTTAACTTGACTCAGGCCCTGATCCCTCCTTCTCTCCTACTCTCTCCACACTGGAATCCTATTCCCTCACCCTTCCCCTCTCCAGTGCCCCTGCCATTCCCCAGAGGTAGGAGCCTGTACTTGGAGAACCGAGGCCTCAGAAACCACTACTGCCCTGGACGGCAGCTTAGGGGAGACATCAGCTTAGGGGAGACATCAGAACCCTCAGGCACAGCTGGCATCAGTACTGCCAGCTGAGGAGCAATGGGTATGGCCATCCCATCATTTTCCTTGTTCCTTCAAGCCCAACTGGCTGGGCCAGGCCTCTTTACTAAAAATTGGGGAAGTGTGGACATTTTTACCCGTCAAATCTACAGATAAAGGAAGAGTTTATGATCAAACAAGAGACAGAGAAAAGCACAGGAAGTGAAATGGATAATCTTGATTACATGAAATTAAAAAGGGTTTGTACAAACAAAACCAATGCAGCCAAAATTAAAGCAGGAAACTGGGTGGGGAGATGGGGAGACTTACAGCAAGTTTCTCTGATAAAGGCCTCATTTCTCAAATGTGAACTGAGCCAAATTTATAAAAAAAAAAAAAGTAAGATCCATTTCTTCAAGTAATAAATGGTCAAAAGATATGAACAGGCAGGCTCAGATTCTTAAAATCTAGCCACTGCTTAGATTCTTATAATCTAGCCAATAGCTCAGTAATATTCAGATTTCTTAAGAATCTGGCCAATACGGTGGATGTTCTAATAAACTTTGTCTTTGACTGAAAGAAGGCTAAGAACCTAGCCAATAGCTCAGTAATGTTCAGATTCCTTAAGAGTCTGGTCAGTATGGCAGATGTTCTAATAAACCTTGTCTTTGGCTGAAAAAACAAAGATATGAATAGGCAGTTTTTAGAAGAAAAAATCTAAGCTATCAGCCACGTGAAAAAAATGCTTTAAAACACTACTGATTAGAGAAATTCAAATTAAAACAACTCTAAGGTACCACCTCACCTATCAGATAGGGTAACAGGACAAATGTTGGAGGGGATGAGGGAAAATAGGGACACTAATGTACTGCTGGTGGAGCTGTGAGCTGGTCCAACCATTCTGTAGAACAGTTTGGAGCTATGCCCAAAAGGCTATAAAAAACTGTGCATACCCTGTGATCCAGCAATACCACTTCTAGGTCTGTATCCCAAAGAGATCATAAAAAGGGGGAAAGGACCCATATGTACAAAAATATTTAGAGCAGCTTTTTGTGGTGGCAAAGAATTGGAAATTGAGAGGATGCCTGTGATGACTGTGATTGTGATAGAATACTAGCGTGCTTTAAGAAATGATGAGCACGATGGTTTCAGAAAAGCCTTCAAAGACTTACACGCACTGATGCAAAGTGAAGTGAGCAGAACTAGGAGGACACTGTGCACAGTAACAGCAGTATTGTAATGATGACCACCTGTGAATCAACACAATGATCCAAGACAATTCCAAAAGATCCATGATAAAAAAAAAAAGCTCTCCACCTCCAAAGAGAGAACTGAGAAACCCTGAGTGCCAAGCCAAGCAGACTTTTGTCACTTTCTTCCTCTTGCTTTTGCTGTTGTTGTAGTGACATGGCTGATATGGAAATGTTTTACATGACTTCACATGTATCCTTGATATCATATTGCTTGCCTTTGCAATAAGTGGGGGGAGAGCTGGAGGGAGAGAATGTAGAACTCAAAATATTAAAAAAAAATGTTAAAAATGAGTAAATCTTTTAAAAAATGTAAAGCCTTATTGAGCTCAGCAGACCTAAGTGTCAGTCAGTAGGGGGAGTGCTCAACAGTATCAAAAACTACGGAGACAAAAAGGAGGATATGGACTTTTAAAAAAAAGATTTGCATTTCAAGACTGGTTCCAATGGGCAAGCTTTCAGAGCAATCTCAAGAGTGGGGAAAGAATCCAGAATACAGAAGAGAGTGAGTAAGGAAGTAATAGAGAATACTGGTTGCAAACATTTCCCAAAGAGTAGCAATGGAGGAAATTGTGGGGAGAGATGGGACAGGAGCCAGAGGGGGTAAACCAAGGGAAGACTTGTTCAGAATCGGGGATGCCCGAGCACATTTGCAGACAAACGGGAAGGAGCCAGTGGCCAGGAAGAGACTGAGAATGGCGGGGGGTGTGGTGGAGAGGAAGGACGGTTAGGGTAAGGTCACAGCTGAGGCAGCAGGGAATGCTTTCAAGGGTCCCAGGAGCAGGGCTAACCTAAGCAATATTCGTCTAGTGTCTCACTAGCACCGGTGCAGATCATGCACATTTCTATCTTTGCTCACACTGTGCTCCTCACTAGAGTGCCCCTCAGAGATGGCTTTGTTAGGGGAATCAGGATCCACTGGAGTGAAGAAACCTGGTGGAGAAGGGAGAAACTACACTGGATTTAGGAGTCAAGAAGCTGGGGTTTCAAGTCAGTAAAATATAAGCTCCCTGAGGGCAGATATGGTGTTGCCAGTCTTCATATCACCCCCCCCCCCAAGATTCTATTAAATTCACGCACCACAGCTTGTCACATCACTGTGCAGGGCACCATAGGTGCTTAAGAAATGCTTGGTGTGTTTCACCCTCGTGTTTGTGTCTGTGTCAGGAGGTGCTTAATGCTTGCACGATGAAATTGCCTTTGTCTATTAGTAGTTATTATATGTCACAGAACCCCAAGAGGAATCTGAGAAGGCATCTGAACCCTCTGCACTCCCTTAGTAAGTTACATCCACTCTGGGCTTGAAGACTTCCAGCAGGAGAGCACTGACTACGTGAGTATTCATTCATTCATTCATTCATTCATTCATTCAGGAGGTATTCTGGCCTAAGTATCTGGGGCACTGGCCCAGGCGTCACAGGATCCTCACACGATGCTCGAGCTAGCCAAGGCCCTCTTTTAAAAAAGGGGCCCCGCGGGTCTGAAGCTCGTCTCGGATGCTCACTTAGCCGTGTGGCCCACACAGCACCCAGCTCCCGGGGCTCTTGGGAGCCGTCAATGAAATGGCGCATGCCCAGTGCTAGATCACTTGAAATGAAGTCCACGTAAATGTCAGCCGTCACTCCTAGCTGTCACAGCAGAACCGCAGAGCTGGAGCAGCAGGGGAGCTCGGAGCAGACAAGTGAGGCAACACCAGGGGTAGGGGGCTGGGGGGGGGGGGGGGGGGGGGGGGGGGGGGCGCCCGGGGCCCCCGGGGGGCGCCCGGGGCCCCCCGGGGGCGGCGCTCCGAGGGCAAAGCGGCGGCTGAGCCGCTCAGGCCGCAGCCCCGCCCCCGACTCCGCCCCCGACTCCGCCCCCGACTCCGCCCCCGACCCCGCCCCCGACCCCGCCCCGACCCCGCCCCCGACCCCGCGCGCCCTCACCTAAGCCTACCTCCGGCCGCCCAGCGGCGCTGCGCGCGACTGGCTCGCGGCGTTCCCTGGCGGCGGTGGCGGCGGCGGCGGCGGCCGC